CTTGGGTATCTTTATTGAGGAAACGTTTCCCCACAAACAGTAAATTTCATCAGTCCATACAACGGAAATCAAAAAAACCCAGGAGGAGAATTGAGGGGTAATAAAATCCCCAGCCTTGAGTCGATGTGGCCAGTCCATCAACCCTTAAAATAGAATACGGCAAAAATGTGCGGAAAAGCAGTTTGTAAACCATAGGGCGGGAGAGGGGGCAGCAGTCCATGGGTGGTTTTAAACATTTTTTTCATTGGGGAAAAGTAGTCGTCCCCAAAAGGGTTAGGAAAAGCAAAAATTCCAAATTTTTAACCCCCAAGAATTTTTGCAGTGCCCGATGGGAAATTTTAATGAAGGGGTTCAGAGAACCCACATTTTTATAAATTAGCCCACATGGGGCAACTTTTGGGTACCCTTTAAATTAAAGGGAAACTTTTTCCCCACACAGTGGCTTCACATCCATACAAAGGAGAATCCGTAAAAACAGGGGGAGAATGAGATAATTCACCCCCCCTAAAACCTTGAGTCGATGTGGTCAGTCCATCAATTTTTTGGGAATAGAATACGGCATATGTGCGGGAAGCCCCCCATAAACCGGGGGGCGGGGAGAGGTGCAGCATTTCTTTAAGGGGTGTCCCCTTTTCCCTCCTTTTTAGGGACTGATAAAAGCCACTGGTGTCAAAACTTTTTCCCTCAAAAAAGATACCCAAATTTTGAAACAGGGTTCCCTAATTTATCAAAAATGCAGTTCTTTTGAATCTTCCCTTTCAAAAAACCCTGCAAAAAATTTGCAACTTCTTGGGGTCTTAAAAAATTTTTGGGAATTTTTCCCGTTTTTGCCAAACCCCTTTGGGGAAACGCCCTTTACTTCCCACATTGAAAAAATTTGTGAAAAACCAAACCTACACTTCGGGCACCTCTCCGCCTACGGTTTAAAAAGCGCTTCTCCCCCACATATCCCGTATTCTTTTCCCAAGATTAAATGGACGAAAACATCAAACTTTAAGGTTTGAGGACTGATTACCTCTTTCCCTCCTCCTTTTCACGTTTCCCCTTTGTATTAACTGATGAAACCACTGTGTGGCGAAACTTTTTTCCTAAAATAAAGATACCCAAGAGTTGCACATGTGTCTAATTTTCAACAGGGTCGGATTCTCTGAACCATTCACCTAAAAAACTATGAGTTTTAAACCTTTCCCCTAAAAAAATAAATGAGGAAATGTAACCCAAGTACCACCACTACTGTAAAAAACGAGTGGCTCAAACCCCTTTTCACACCCACCTTTTGCTTTTGCTCTTCAACAAATCACTAACCCCAAACCCCAAACCCCCCCGGGCCTCACTCAGACTAGCAGGATTAAAAACCAATAAAACGAAAGTGGTGACCCAACAGATGTATAAAATTTAATTGGCCAATATCAAACTTCCCTTTTATTTTTCCAAAATCGGGGAGAAACTCAACACAAAAGGTTTATTTCCTTCATACATCCCCAAATCATTTTTTAAACCAATGCCATTTTGGCTTCAGGAGAAACAAAAGCAAAAAATTTACACAATAATAAAAATTTGCTAGACCTATTTTCCCACAGCACTGGAAAAAATGAATCCCCCTTTTGGGACTCTCTACCTACCTTAAGAAAGCTTTTGATACAGTAAAACACAACATTCTACTTCTCAAGGAAGCAATTCATAAAACAAAAAGAAAAAGGGAACGCTGCAACGGGCAAACTAAACCCCATGTAAAACCAGGTCCATGTCCTCCCCACCCCCCATTACCCCAATGACCCACCTGGGAAAGGGACAAAGGCCCACAGCCCTTTGTAAGCACAAGCTAGGTCATCCAACTCAAAACCCAAAACCCACACACACTCATGTTTTTTATCAAACCCCTTTTTTTTAAAAAAACAAAACACACTTTTTTAAATCCTCAATAATGTATTTGGGAGTTTTTTTTCCACTCATCCACAACTCTTTCCCAAACCCAAAGTGTTTTCCCCTTATATTTGTTTCCCGAATCTTTTTTTTTCCCAAAACTTGAAACCATTCTGCGAGCCTGTTTTGGGCGGGAAATTTTTCCCAGCACCCTAATTAAAATCCCCTTTATTTATTCCTTTTTTCCTTTTAACCCTTGATCATATCATCCCAAATTTTTATCCCTTTTTCTGGAGTTTGAAATTCAGGCCCTCAGTCCCCTCATAGGGAAGATTTCTGATCATGGGATCAACTTTGCCTCCTCCTCGGGAAACTTTTCCCCGAGCTTTTATGTCCATTCTTAATACGGGGGACCAAAAAATAAAGCAGAAATAATCAAAAATGGGGTCAAACCCAAAGGGGTATATGGGCGTTGAAGAAAAACCCTTTAGGACTTCTATTTTTTAACTTCTAAATATGAAGCCAAAAATTTCTTTTTGCTTGATTGCGAACACTAAGAACAAAGAAAAAAGGGAACATTTTGCAGCGGGCCTCTGGCCCATGCAAGGCAGGCCCATGTAAACCCCCCCAAACTTAGACAATGACCCACCTAATCAGGTCACATCCACTGAAGGAAGGGAGCATGACATCAGACCTAGTACACAAAACCACAAAATCGTAAAGACACGATTGCAAAAAAAACCATACAAAAACCGGCCGGGATTGAAACCGTGACGGGCTGGAGTTTTGAGACTCTCTGACCGGGGGTTTTAAAATTCCCGGCCGGGTGTATGGGTTTTAGTAGAAACAAGCTATCGGGCCCCACCTAAACACCCACCCAAAACTCACTCATGAAATTTTTAATCTAATCTATTTTTACTTTCCTCTTAAAATGGGAGTTTTTAATGGACATGGAAATCGGGAAAAGTTTGGTATTTCCCCATGCTATTTGCTCTAACGGGAGCCATTAAACCGGTGCCCCACAAGGCACTAATTGCTCCCAATTTTCTTAAACCCTGCGCACATTTTGATGCAAAACCCTCGAGCCTATCGTCCCAAATTTTTAAAGGGAAATTTAAAAATAAAACTTGATTTATGTTTGGGGGGCTATAAACGGAAACAAAGAAGAGCAAACATTTGGAGAGTTTAAGGTTTAAAAACCTGGCCATTAACGTGTAAAAACAAAACGATGATGGTTCCTTCGCGGGATTTTTTATACTTATAAAAAAATGGCAAAATTTTTACTATAGAAAGCACAAAAAAATTTGAGCAAACACAAAAACCCTTTTCTCTCAATACAGTAAAACAGCAATTATTTAGATCTCTAAACCCCAAATCAACCATCTCTTTTTTTAGTGTGGTATTTTCTTTTCCTCTTGACTAACCTTGTTCCCTTTCAAATTACCATTTTTGATGCATGCAAATGGATGTCTACCTGGGACTTGGCAAAATTGATTTGTGAAGGTTTTTTATTTTTTAAAAATTTTTTCTTTTTTTATTTTTTTAAAATTTTATTGTTTTTAAACTAGCCCATTGCCCTCGAAAATTGTAGTAACTTTTACAAACACATGGTTAAACGGAGGTATGATTCTTATTCCACTTCCCCCATGGCCCAATGTGTAGGTGACCTTTTGGGTAAGAAAAAAGATAAGTATGCCTGTTACCCTTGTATTTTTTTACAAGACAGAAAAAAAACACCAGCACTCCTACACTAGGGGAAAAAACAAAAAAAAAGGTTTTTGTCAACACCATTTGGGGCAGGACAGTAGACCCCCCTGGGTGGTTTTTGCACCTCAAAAGGGAAAGGGTTTGAGAATTTTTGGGCCCGTTTGGGATGACATCCAAGCTTCATATCTGGGCACCCGAAAAAGACAGGGGCCAGGGTGCGAATGATGATAAAAGAAATTGGATGATGGGAAAAGTGATTTTTCTCTCCGGGGTCAACCCCCCTTTTGGTGGGGACCATTTTACTGCGACATGACAAAAAAATCAAACAACAGAAATTTGGGGGCTTTTGGGGCATTAATACCAGTTTTAAACCAACAAATTTTTTACGTTTATTAATGATTACATGTATTTTGCTTTAAATTATTTCCATTTTTTTTATACAAAAAATTTTGTATTCAATACTATTTCATATACGGGAAACTTAGAATAGGGAAACACTTCTCTAAATGCCCTGTTGCCCCTTGGTTTTAGATTATTTTGCAAACCAGAATTTCCCAAAATTCCCTTTTTCCCAATCAGTAGTATTAAGATCTACTTACAGTCGACCCTCAACTAATGGCGGCATTAAGTAACGGCAATTTCATCTAATGGCATTTTTTTAAAAAAAAACCCCCCCGGGGGGAAAAATTAAAAAATTTTTTTAAAACCCCCGCCCCTCCAAAACCCCGGGGGCCAATTTAAATTTTTTTGGGGGTTTTTTTTTTAAAAAAATTTTTTTTTTTTTTCCCCCCTTTTTTTTTTTTTAAAGGGGGGTTTTAAAAAAAAAATAAATTTTTAAAAAAATTTAAAAAATTAAATTAATTTTTCCCCCCCCCAAAAAAAAAAAAAAAAATTTTTAAAAAATAAATTTGTAAAAAAATAAAAAGGGAAAAGAAAAAAAAAAAAAAAAAAAAAACCCCCATTTTTAAAAAAAAAGGGGGTTTTTGGGGGGAAGGGGGGTTTTTGAACCAAAAGGGGCCCAAATTTTTTTTTTTTCCCCCCCCAGGTTTTTTAATTTCCCTGGACCCTTAAAAGGGTTTTTTTTGTCCCCAAAAAAAATTTTCCCCCCTTTTTTTTTTAAAAAATTTTTCCCAAAACCCCCCCAAAAATTTAAAAAAAGGGGTTTTAAATTTTTTTTTCCCCCTTTTTTTTTTTTTTTCCCAAAAATTTTTTTTTTAAAAAAAAAATTTTTCCTTTTTCTTTTCCCCCCCCCTTTTTTTTTTTCCCCCCCTGGGGGTTTTTTTAAATTTTTTTTTTTCCCCCGGGGTTTCCCCCCCCTTTCCCCCCCCCCCCCCAAAACCCCCCCTTTTTTAAAAAAAAAAAAAAGGGTCCCCCGGGGAAAAAACCCAAAAAATTTTTTAAACCCCCCAAATTTTTCCCCCCCCCCTTTTAAAAAGGGCCCCCCCCCTTTTAAAAATTTTTTGGGGAAAACCCCCCCCCTTTTGGGAAAATTTGGGGGGAAAAATTTTTTAAAAAATTTTTTTTAGGGGTTTTTGGGGCAAAATTTTTTTTGGGGGGGGTTAATTTTTAAAAAAAAAACCCCCCCCCCCGGGAAAAAGGGTTAATTTGGGGAAGAACCAAAAAAAAACCCCAAAAAAATTTTTTTTTGGGGAAATTTTTTTTTTTTTAAAAAGGGGAAAAAGGTTTTTTTTTTTCCCTTTAAATTTCCCCTTAAAAAAAAAAAAAACCCAAAAAAAAAATTTTTTTTTCCTTTTTTTTTTTTTTTTTTCCCCCCCCCCTTTTCCTTTGGGGGTTTTTTTAAAAAATTTTTTTTCCCCCCCTTTTTTTCCCAAAAAAACCCCCAAAAACCAAAAAGGCCCCCCCCCCCTTTAAAAAAAAAAAATTTTTTTTTTGGGGTTTTTTTTTTTTAAAAAGAAAAAATTTTTTTTGAAATTTTGGGAAAAAATTTTTTTTTAAAAGCAAAAAAAAGGGGGAAATTTTTTGGGGGGAAAAGGGTTAAACCCCCAAAAAAAAGGGAAAAACCAAAATTTTAAAAAAAAAGGGGGGAAAAAAAAAAAAACCCCTTTTTTGGGTTTAAAAAAAACCCCGGAAGGGAAAACCCCCAAAAAAACCCCAAAAAAATTTAAAAAATTTTTTTTTAAAAAAAAATTTAAAAAAAGGGGGGAAAAAATTTTTTTTTTTTAAAAAAATTTTTTTTTTTTGGGGGGGGGTTTTTTTTTCCCTTTTTTGGGCCCAAAAAAAATTTTTATTGGTTAAAATTTTTTTAAAAAAAAAATTTTAAAAAATTTTTAAAAAGGGGGAAAAAATTTTTTTTTTTGGGGGGAAAAAAATTTTTTTTTTAAAAAAAGGGTTTTTGAAAAAAACCTTTTAAATTTTCCCCCAAAAAAAAAAAGGGGGGGGAGGGGGCCCCAAAAAAGGGGGGGGGTTTTAAAAAAAGGGGGAAAAAAAAAAACCCCGGGGGAAAAAAAAAAACCCCCGGGAAAAATTTTTTTTTAAAAAAAATTTTTTGGGGGGGAAATTTTTTTTTCGGAAAGGGGGGAAAAAAAGGGGGGAAAAAATTTTAAAAGAAAAAAAAAGGTTTTAAAAAAATTTTAAAAAAAAAATTTTAAAAAAAAAAATTTTGGGGAAAAAGGGGGGGGGGGTGAAGGGGAAAAAAAAAAAAAAAGGGGGGGTTGGGGGGGAAAAAAAATTTTGTTTTAAAAAGGGGGGGGAGGGAGAAAAAAGGGGGGGCCCGGGGAATTTTAAAAACAAAAAAGGAAAAAAAAAGGGTTTTTTTTAAAAGGGGGTTTTTTTTAAAAAAATTTTTTGGGGGGCCCAAAAAAAAAAAAAATTTGTGGATTTTAAAAATTTTTTTTTGGGGGCCCCCCCCAAATTTAAAAAAATTTTTTTTAAAAAAAAAAAAAAGGGGTTTAAAAAAAAATTTTTTTTTTTTTTGGGGGAAAATTTTTTTTTTAAATTTGGGAAAAAAAGGGGAAAACCTTTTTTTTTTTAAAAAAAGGGGGGGGGGGTTTTTTTTAAAAATTTTTTGTTTTAAATTAAGGGAATTTTAAAAAAAAGTTAAAAAAAAGGTTTTTTTTTAAAAAATATTTCCCCCCTTTTGAACAGCAGCGTCCTTAATTTCTTTTTCTTGGTCACAATGGAACAATATGGTTGTGTAGGGTTTGTTATACATCCTGGCCAGTTGGGCCCCGCACTTAAGCCACTTTCATATTGTTCAATGATGTTTTTCTTAAATTCAAGGGGTATTTCTCACCTTCTTTACCAAAGGCTTGGCACTATGAGCTTTCTTTGGAGCCATGGTGCTTTTTTAGTACTTGCAAGCACTAAAATGAGTGGAATATTATGAAATATTTCGTAGGAGCACGGGGAGGGACCTTCGCTCACTGGTAAACAATGCCAGACTGGCTGGGTAGGGAGGCCCCCCCGGCTCACATCGTGCGTACGCGTCCCGGACGACCTACAATTCCGAGTCAATCTACGATTAGCGAGCCCATTTTTTAATACAAAAATATCGCTATGATTTCCCGAAATCTAGGACTCTCGAGAACTACGATTATTGAGGGACCACTGTATTCCACTGTTTCTAGTGCTTGTAACTGCTAAATAAGCCACCATGGGCCCCAAGAAAGCTTCTAGAGTCACCCCTTTTTGGTAAAGGATGGGGGATACACGATAGAATTCAAAAAAAAGTTTGTAGAAAAAATATGAAAGTGGTGGTGGTAGAGGGTGGTAGTGATGGTGGTAGTGATGGTGGTAGTGATGGTGGTAGTGATGGTGGTAAAGGGTGGTACTGGTTGTGTTGGGGGTAGAGGGTGGTAGTGATGGTAGAGAGTGGTCCAGTGATTCTCAAGCGGGTTTCCTAGTGACATTAAAAAAAAAAGAAGGGAGGTAACCCCACCAAAGGACTTGGTACCTGAAGTCTTTATGAAGGGGATTCTCTTCCAAGCAATAGACAAACCTGAATCTCCCCTGCTGCTGGCACATCACTCATCAACAACTCCAAAATTAAAGGTAAGTGGCTTTAATTACTGTTTATTTTGCATGTCCCATTCCTTTCCATATAAGGAAATGTATATTTCATTTAAAAAAAAAAAATCAGACTTTGGGGTGTCTGGAACAGATTAATTCTATTTCCATTATTTCTTATGGGGAAAATTAACTCGACCAAGGGCCATTTTGACCTCTGGAAGGGATTAATGCCGTTGGTTGAGGGTCTCATGTATTTAGTTTATATGTGGCATGGTTATTTTCCTGTCCAACATTTAGAACTTTGCATTTGCCTATATTAACCCTTTCAGGGTCCAAGGCCCAAATCTGGAGTCACGCACCAGTGTCCAAGAATTTTCAAAAAAAAAATTTGTTATTTTTTCTTATGAAATTGTAGAGAATCTTTTTGTGAAGGTAATAAAACAAAAAGTACGAAATTTGGTGGAAAATTGACGAAATTATGCTCTCGCGAATTTTGATGTGTCAGCGACATTTACGAATCGGCGATTTTGCCGACTTTGACTCCCATTTTAGGCCAATTACATTATTCCAATCAACCAAATTCTTAGCTACTTCACTAGTATTACTTCTATTCTATCGATTGAGCACAAGAAATCGCCAAGTCAATTGTTTCAACTACAAAATAAAGTGATCGGAAATTGTTAATTGGCCAATTTAACACAAAGTTCAAAATATTCCAATTTCAAAATAGGGTCCAGAATAAACAATGTAGGCATTCCTGGCACTAAACTAACGTTTCCTCTGTTCATTAGTTATGTTTTGAGGCTTTACAAATAAATCCATTTTGATTTTATCACATAATGAATTTTTATTCACACCAAAAAATAGAAGATTTACTGTTATGCAATACTGTAATAATTTATAAATATCATCACCATTTTGTGAATGTATATTAGGACCCACCAGCTGACGTGTATTAGACGTGTGAGGTCGTTTGTTTACTCTTGAATATCGGCAAAAATTAACATTTCCGCTACTTTGAGCTCAGTTTCAAGCCATTTCCAGTGCTAAAACCAATCAAAAATCCATCTCTATTTCTGTAATATGTCTTCCATTCTATCAAATGAGACCAAGAAATCGCAAATACAACTATAAAAAACATACGAAAAAACACTGCAAAGTTGCTGTTTTAATCAAAAAATCATGATTTAAGTTTTTTCTCTCATTATACACAGTGTGCTGCAGGATCTGTTTTATGTGGTGCACACATACCACATAGATGTATTCTCTCATATCTAGGCCCAAATGTACCACTCACAGTTTATCAGAGTGAGCTGAGCTCATGGCGTAGATCTACAGTGTGGACCCTGAACGTAAAGCCGTAGATCTACGGGATGGACCCTGAAAGGGTTAAACTCAATCTGCCACTTCTCCGACCATTGCATCAGTCTATTCAAATCATTCTGGAGTGCTTTAGTGTCCTCATTAGAATGAATTGGATGGCCTATTTTGGTGTCATCAGCAAATTTGCTTATGTCGCTATTTATTCCCTCATCTATGTCGTTTATGTAAATTGTGAACAAGAACGTGCCCAACACTGACCCCTGCAGGACCCTGCTTGTGACGCACCCCCATTCTGATTTCTCCCCATTTATGCAAACTCTCTGCTGCCTATTTGTCAGCCATGCCTCTACCCAGGAAAAAATTTCTCCTCCTATTCCATGTGCCTTAAGTTTCCTCAATAGCCTCTGATGTGGAACTCTATCGAAAGCCTTACTGAAGTCCATATACACAATGTCATATTCATTACCATGATCTACTCCTCAAACACCTTGATAGCATAGATTGCTGAAGCAATCTATGCTATCAAGATGGCTATGAATTGCTTCAGCATTATCGATTCATAAAACTTTTCCACCTTATTCAGGCACTATGCCAGTTTGTAGTGATATGTTAAAAAGATTAGCCAAAGGTATGCTAAGTTCCTCTTTACATTCCTTTAACACCCTTGCCAAACAGTTCATCAGGGCCTGGGGGATTTGTTAGGTTTTAGTTTCTCTGTTTGAGGACCATGTCACTAGTTACTGCAATCGTACATAGTTTATTTTTGTCCTTTTCTACATAATCTTTTATTTAGGAATTTCTCTAGTATTTTCCTGGGTAAAAACTGAGAGGAAGAAGGTATTGAAAATTTCACACATATCCTTATCACTGTCAGTGATCTGACCAAGATTACTCTTAAGTGGGCCTATCTTTTCTTAATCTACTTTGGATACCTGAAAGAACCCCTTTGGGTTAGTCTTCAAATCCCTAGCGCTTAGCCTCATAATCCCGTTTTGCTTTTCTTATTCCTTTCTTTATTCTCTCTCTTAATTGACTAATTGATTTCTTAACTGCCCATCCCCTCTTTTGATATGCTTATATATGCCTCTCTTTTGGCCAATGAAATGTTTTAATCTATTGTTCATCCATTTGGCATCATTTTTGTTAGATCTAATTTCCCTACTCGTAACAAAAGTTGTCTGGGCAGCTAGAACTATGCTCTGAAAAACGTCACATTGGCAACCAAGATTACACCTTCCTGACCCATAGTCAGGACATTCCAATTTAGCCCACCCAGGTAATTTTTCAGTCCCATGAAATCGGCCCAAACAAAAATCTGGGACAGAGATTTGATTGCAGTTATCTGGGTAATTCCATGATACATTGAAACTAAGTGATTTGTGATCACCTTCCCCAAGCTCATCATTAACCTCAAGATTATTAGTTAGTGACTCTTTGTTGGCAAGAACCAAGTCAAACAGATTGTTTCCTCTAGTTGGTTCTGTCACAACCTGTTCCAAAAAGCAATCCTGAACCGTATCAAGAAAGTCGCTAGAATCAAGATTTCCTGTCATGTTGTTCCAATCAATTTGTCTAGAGTTAAAATCTCCCATTATCACAACATTTTCGTCCCATAACAGCTTACTGCACTCCCTATCAAGGTTTGGGGGCCTATAAATCACACCCAAAATTAATTTGTCACGACCCTCGAGAAACTGTAGCCAAACAGATTCTGTGTTCGATGTTTCTAATCTTATATCATGTCTAAGACAATTTAACTTTTCTCTGACATACATCGCCACTCCACCACTCTTCCTGTTGACCCTATCAGTGTGAAATAGTTTATAACCCTGTATGTTGTATTCAGAAGGCATTTCTCTACCTTTCAGGTTGAACCAGGTCTCTGTTATACCAATAATATCTATATTACCTGCACTTGCAAGTAATCTTAGCTTATCTATTTTATTTCTTAGACTCCTACTATTTGTATAGTAAACCTTAAGGGAGCTAATCACTCGTTGCCCTCTGCTATCTCTCTCTGTTTGTTGATCAATTGATTTGCCATTACTAGCAACTTTATTTTGAATATTGTCTTAAATATATCCCTGAGGTATCCCGGTAATAACTGCTGTTTTTAACCCTAATACTGCAGCCTGATTGTTTCCCACAAACACCCATATCTCTATAATCTATCAGTTTAAATTCCTAGACAAGTCATCAATTACCCCTCTCAATCGAATTGGCTAATGCAACCACTCCAACCACAGAGAGATAAACCCCCATCCCTTGCATACATATCACGTTTGCCATAGAATAGGTCCCAGTTATCAATGAATGGGATTGCAAGTTCCTTGCAGTACCTGTCTAGCCAGCAATTTATACCAATTGCCCTAGACATCCATTCATTGCCCACTCCATTTCTAGGCAAGATACTACATATGACTGGGATCCATCCCTTAGACCTGACTACTTCTATGGCTGACCTGTACTTATCCAGCAGCTCCTGTCTCCTGCCCTTCCCAATGTCATTGCCCCCAGCACTAAGACAGATAATGGGCTTGTTCCCATTACCTGACATAATATTATCCAACCTGCTGACTTTGTCACCGACACCAGCTCCTGGAAGGCACACTGTCTTACCTTTCTGTCTCTGTTACAAAAAGCACGGTCTATATATCTTACCTGAGAATCTCCTACAATTAAAATGTTCTTACCTTGATTACCAGGGGAATCAGTGGTACCTTCAACCTCACTAATCACTGAAGTGCACTTGTCCTGGAGAACAGAGAATCGATTTCCTACCTTCACATCTTCTGTTAACCCTCCTTATCTTCCTTCTTCCTGAACTGTGAACCACTTGCCACTTAAAGCGGCTGCCACTATCACTGTTGGTGACCATTTCCTCATTACCAGCTAAATCCTTCTCACACTCACTACCAAACTCATCTAGTGGAAGCTTCAGCCTCCTATTTTCCTCCTGAAGAAGTAGAACCTCCTTCTTCAACACATGAACCTGAGATTCTAAAACACTACAACAAGCAATGGTGCTTGGTAACAGCCCACGCTAACTCCCAGAGAGCTTAGGACAGGAATGACCGCAGGTGACCACTAACCTCAAGAGAGCCCCAACTGATGGCAGCAAGTGGCTAGTGGTCTGATGTGAAATATAAAATTCAACAGGGCTTACATCATTTCTTCTTCCTTTTCCTCTTTCTCTTCTTTCTCCTTCCTTGCTAGCTTCTTTGTTACTTCTCATGGGCCATTAGGCCCATTAGTGCTAGTTTCTTTTGTTTAACCCCTTGGGGACCTGTATGAGAGAGTGAAGTCACCTTCTCCACTGCCTTGAGTTGTAATATACCTTGACTGCTGCTGCTACAACCTTTATTACTAATTCTATTACTACTACCCTGTACTACTATTTCCAATACTTGTAGTAGTAACACTGCTGCCAACAGCTACCATCATTTATTATTATTACCTGTAATATTATTACTATTCTTACAACCACTATTTTCTTTCCCCCCTTGCCTCTTCCCAACTCTGTTTTTCACATTCAGTTTTGACATAATAATGGTCCAATATTAATTGTGAATCAGAGAAAAATAATCTCATTATTCAGATTGGTCTGTTAAATTGACATTTCACTCTCCATTTTATTTACAGAAACAAGCACTGCCTGAAATGCCTAGGCATGCTAGTGATCTTCTGTGTAATTAATATTTTGTAATATGTAAACCACACATTGTAAGCTTTGCAAGGAAATAAACATTTTCATTTTCATTCATAGGAATTATACCAAATTCCAAACAGTTCAAAGCTGAATGGAAAGATGAATGTTAGGCAAAAATCTGTTGATGAGAAAATTGTCTTTGGAAAATGGCTGTATGTATATGAAAGTGTTGGATGTAGTAGCTTGAACAGCATCACTCTAAATTCTAGTCAATTTTCCCTCATTCTTTTCTATGAAGTCCCTAAGGTTTTCAGGTAATATTGAAAAACACCACTAACAAGGACTCCTAGTCTACAATTCATCTTCCCATCAATTGATTGCAAACCTCTGTAAGGCAAGTGACATACTGGCATGATCACTTCAAGGTTCAGAAAGCAGATCACTATATTTGTGGCAAATACTGTCCCCAGGAGATATGTGAAGTAACTACACTGCATGAAACTGACAAGAAGAGTAATATTAATTGCACTAAATCACTGTAGTGAACATAGAAAACTACATATCATTAAGGCTGGTACCTTTAAAAGAAAATATCACACAGACATTTGGACAGAATCAAATAACCTTAAGTCTGACAGCATCACTTACAGGTGGCTTAACCATTATTAGATGAAGATGTATGTATCGTTATTTACTGCATCTCCTTTGAGATGCACCACACAAGGGCTAGCTTAATAAAAACTTGTTCTGTTGTTGCCTATACAGCCACCAGCCTGAAGATGTCTACGTGGTAGGCAAAATGTTAAAACCATTAGCAAAAATTTTTATAAAAACTTCAAATGCACTGTAGCTTATTAATTTTCATAAATCAGGGAAAGAGTGGGGCTTGAACCCCTGGCAAGTGAGCCCTAAAAATCACAGGCCAGTGTGTTAACCACTTGGCCAGCTGGCTTTAAAGAGATTCATGCAACTGTGTTATTACAATTTTGGGAGTTATTAATTTCCAATATATTGTACATTGATCATTAGTAAAACATGCCACAAACAAAATAAGTATCATGCCTACATATACACACACAAGTCCCATATTGTATTACTGTTATAATTTAAGTTGTTTATATTTTGTATAATTCATTCACTCACCATATTTCACAGGCTGACACAGAAACCTATTGATTAAATGATTACAGTTTTAGGCAAGGATGCTTTTTACAAGAGAAATTTTTAATTTTCTTCAGCTGCTGTAATTTTACATTTAAAGATGCAGTATAAAAAAACAATGATTTTACTCTGATCACTTGTAAAGAATGTAGAGTTGTCGGTAGAGCCAATTTCCTGCCTTCATGATGAACCAGTGAGGATCAGAGTATTTGGCCTCAGTCCAGGCGAGGATGTCACTCTTCAGGCATTCATGGAGGACTACAAAGGGGTTGGCTTCATTTCATATGCTCATTACAGGTATGTTATCACATTGAAGAAAACAATGCCAATGATTATTGAACTAATTTTTTTAATGTACTTCCATGTCATGTGAAATTTTTTTTTTATTTTATCAGTGTGCATTTATCTTCTTATTTTTGTCTATTCTATGTTTTGAGAAACAAGTACATATCTCATTTGTCCCCTGATTCTGAGTCACCTAACCATGTAAATTTTGCTGTGACTTAATGCCTATGATTTGGAAAGAATCATGGGTAGGTTGTTCAAACTGCAGCTAATATACTTGCAATAACTTTCATTATACAGTTGATGCATTCCTGGAAATTTCAAGAACCTTGAACCTGTCTTCCCAAAACACCAATGTTAAAATCATAGATGGGTTCCTGAGCCATAGTATTCTGTATCTTACTTCATCTATTTTTAACTAAGAATATTTACCCGGTATTTTACTTTCATTACTGTGCCTTTTCCCTTACAAGTTGTATTAAATATTGTTTAATGCGTACAGTACACATTAATTAACCCCTTGACTGTCGCAACCCCCAATCCTAAGGTGTCTCCTGGTGTCGCAAAATTTAAAAAAAAAAATTATTTTTTCTTATGAAATGATAGAGAATCTTTTCCCGATTGTAATGACACCAAAAAAACGAAATTTGATGGAAAACTGACGGAATTATGCTCTTGCGAAGTTAGCGACCTCGGCAATATTTACAAATCGGCGATTTCGCCCACTTTGAGCCCTATTTTCGGCTAATTCCGTTGTTCCAGTCAACCAAACTCATAGCTATTTCTTTAGAACTCCATTTTTTCTATCGATTGAGTACAAGAAACTGCCCATTTACCGATTTCAACTACCCAATAATGTGGTCAGAAATTTGCAATTTGGCCAATTTCACGAAAATTAAAAAATATGACTATTTTCAAAATAAGGTCCAGAATGAACAATGCAGACATTCCTGGCTCTAACATAACATTTTCTTTGTTCATCAATCATGTCTCCAGGCCACTCTGATATTACTCTTGCTTTCTATTTTGAATTTTTATTCAAACAAAAAATAGAAGACTTACTATTATGCAGACTACTGCAATACTGTAATAATTGTATAAATAACATCAACCCATTCATGACTGCATATTAGAATGGCTAGTTGGACATTTATTGGACAATGACATCATTTGTTTACTTTTGAACATTGGCAAAAATCAAACATTTCCCCTACTTTGAGCTCCATTTCCAGGTTCCTTTTATAGTAAAATCAATCAAAATCACCTCTATTTCTATAACATGTTTTCCATTCTATCAAATGAGACCAAGAAAACGAGAATACAACCATAAATACTATACGAAAATAGACCACAAAGTCGGCATTTTAATTAAAAAAAACGGTCAGAGTTTTTTTTCTCATTATGCACTGCGTGCTCCAGGATTTTTTTATATGGTGCAAACTGACCACACAGACCCATTCTCTCACATGTGGGCCTACCAGCTTTCTCATGCTTGATTTGAAGCCGCTAGAATTTGAGTATATATACGTCAAACACTGTACCTCGTAAGACGTATATATACGGCCGCGGCAATCAAAGGGTTAAACAGAACAGAGCTACAGATGCAGTCTACATCTTCAACACATATTTGAATTATCTGTATAATTTTTTTGATCTGTTTATGAGGGACCAACAGTGTGGTTCAAACAAGCCAGAGTCAGCAGGGGATTCAGGAAGGTAATGCCTACCACCACCACCACTACCTGATGCTAGCATTGGTTCTCAGCAATACAGTAAGGCTCTGACTTATGATGCTCAGAGTTTCTGTATTCTGTATTTATGATGCTGGTACTTTGGATTCATGTCTTTTTGTACTTCACTGGCTTGGTTGACTCTGTTGCTTCCCTTTCTCTAGGTACCATAATTTGTTGACCATTTACCAGAGTCTCCTTAGAGATCACATATTTTATACTTTAATCAAAACAAAAGCAAAAATATCTTATTTAAGATGCTTCAACAATAACAGCACACATGTAGCAGATTACAAGCTAGGAAGATATTATAGGCATCAACATTTATCTTTATTGTAGTTTTAACCATTTTTCTTTTTCTTTTATTATTGCTTCAGTCCTGCTCATCTTTTGGATATGTTGTGTATAGTTTGTTATGCTGAGTATCTTGTATTCAAGAAGATATTTTCCAACAGATTGTCAAAAACAAACTAATTTTTTGGGGAAATTAAAATGGTAGTTTGACAAAAATTTTTTTAATGCATCATCTGTATCACACTGAGGCAGTGATGAAAAAAGAAAAACTTTAATTTTTCTTTTTTAAATTTAGTAATTTATACAGAAGAAGGGGTTACTTGCCCCTTGCTGCTGGCATTTTAGTCGCCTCTTATGACACACATGGCTTACATGGAATTAAAGGTGCTCAACATACCATAGGAAATAAAAAAAATGAGGACAATTTAAACATTTACGAGGGAAAAAATTAAATTGACTGAAGTGATAATAGAAAAACATCTGAATTTATTATCTTCTCTTTACCCCTTTGAGGGTTCATCATGTAGTTCTACGGCTTTGAATCCAGGGTCCAAGCTGTAGAACTACGCCATAATTCTAGCGGCTTCAAATGTAGCGCAAGAAGACTGGTAGGCCTACATCTAAGAGAATGGGTCTGCGTGGTCAGTGTGCACAGTGAACAAAAAGTCGAGGCACCCACATTGCATTGTGGGAATGCTATCTCAGTATGCTTTGTTCATCATGCCTTGTGGCAAGGAAACTCTCACTTCCTGGTGAATTGGGACTCTCCACTTCCCAAGTGATAATTTTAACACTGATGGAAGTGGGTCTGAAGAGGAATTCTGTGGTTTTGAATCATATGGTACATTGTACCATATGGTACAATGGTACCATATGGTACTATGTGGTACAGGGATGCCAATGGAAATAAGTCACACTGACTTTTTAGGGTTATCCTAGGTAAGGGGTCGGCAACTCTCGGCCTACGTGAGGTTTTCGTCCGGTCTGCCAACTTAACACCTGGACACTAATTATCTAATTAGTATCAAATACAGATGCAGTAGTTCACTTCAAGGTTAAGCAGTCCTTGGAAAAGTTACTTCTTATCCTCGCTCCTTAGAGTTTTTCATTTGAGTTTGTCTGGTGGTAAAACAGCTGTACAGTAGGTATCTGCATTTGATAATAATGTTTATTTAATTATTTGTGATAAATTGTGTTAAGTATTATTAGAATTAGGCCAAAATTAGTTTAAAAAACTAATGGCTACCCTGAGTTCAAGAAAATTTTTTACATTACATTTAATAACATGGCCCTCCTCCGAGAGACTGCATAGCTGTCTGGCCCTCTCTCTCCAAAAGGTTGCTGACCCTTATCCTAGGTTCTCCACACATATGCTGCTGTGTATGATAAACTATGTAACTGTATTTGTGTATACCTGAATAAACTTACTTACAATGCCACAGGCGCTCAAGTATGTAAGTTTATTCAGGCATACACAAATGCAGTTAGATAGATTATCATACATAGCAGCATATGTGTGGAGAACCTTGGATAACCCAAAAAAGTCAGACAGAGTGACTTATTTCCATTGGGGTCCCTGTACCTGTACCATATGGTGCAATGTACCATATGGTACCCTGTACCATATGCAATTCCAAGGAGACAGTACATCCCATGGCCCTACGCCTGGAATAGACAGTGACAGTGATGATGATGTGGCTACAATTGGGATGGATAGGCCACATGCGTCAGTAGATGGTGGTGGTGGAAACGAGCATGCAGCACCAGCCCAGGCTGGGACCCAAGCCGCTGATTCAGCAGGTCCAGGACAAAGCGCATCATCATCCACTGGTGGAAGGAGACAACTGTGGCTGAAATGCATTTTTTTTTTTTGCAACAATTATGTTTATGCCAATGTTTATAAGCATAATGTAAAATCATACTGGTTGATATAAGATGTCATGTTTCAAAGACTTTCACAGACTGCAGCAGTTCTAGGAACATATCCAGTGACTGTACATATATAAATATACAGTGGAACTCCGGTGTTCGTCCTTAATCCGTTTCAGAAGGTCGGTCGAAATGGACGAAAACCAATTCAATTCAAATTCAAATTCAAAGTTTATTCTCTATAAAGATTACAATGTTGAATTTACAGAATTTGGTTGTTGTGTGGTTTACATGTAGTTAAATAATGATTACAGAGTGTACCACTAGAACGCCTAGCATGGCTAGGCATTTCGGGCAGACTTAGTTTAATTCTTTATTTTAAAATATTACAAATTATGAGGTAAGTTGGTATTATGGCTAAGTGACTAAATACTAGTTTGTGAGTTTAGCAATGTGAATGCTTTTGTTTTGGCACAGTACATAGTTTCAGTATTGGAGTATCATAGGATTCATTATTTTAAGATTGAGATTAATATTTCTGTTTATGGTCAAATGGGTGAGTGAGTGTAAGTGTGAACCACCAAGTGGTATTCGTGTAGTTAGTTGATGGGGTTTATCAGGGTGATAAGATATTTTCCAATGGTAGTTTTGAAGGTGATGAATGTGTCTGCAGTTCTAGAGTTCTCAGGTAGGGTGTTCCAGATTTTAGGGCCTTTGACATACATTGAATTTTTGTAAAGGTTTAGTCGGACATGGGGAATGTCGTAGAGATGTTTGTGTCTGGTGTTATGCTTGTGGGTTCTGTCACAACTATCAAGAAAGTGTTTAAGGTCAAGGTTGATATTGGAGTTTAAGGTCCTGTAGATGTAGATTGCACAGTAGTAAGTGTGGATGTACTGAACAGGGAGTAAGTTTAGATCTATGAAGAGTGGGGGGGTGTGTTGCCAGGGATGATATTTAGTGATTATTCTTACTGCAGCTTTTTGTTGGGTTATTATTGGCTTTAGGTGTGTTGCTGCAGTTGATTCCCAAGCACAAATAGCATAGGTGAGGTATGGATAAATAAGTGAGTGGTATAGTGTGAGAAGGGCATTTTGCGGCACGTAGTATCGTATCTTG